GTTATAAAAAACAATTTTTGAGAAATGTGTTGGCTTTTCTGCTTGGTTTGAAGCACAGGTATTAGGGTGAGAGTGGTAGCCTCTGCTGGAGAGCTGAGAATGGTAATTCCTTCTCTTCACAGTTGAATCTTTCTTGAGTAGTTCAAATACCACGTTTTCCTGAAGCTTTCTTTAAAAAACCCACAGAAATAATTTTAATACCTTTTAATTTTCTTGAAAATAATTATGCATGCTCAATGATCCAGTTTGCTTCCTTAACTTGTGATTCCAGGAGTAAAGTGTGTGTGGATGCTGCAAGGAGGACTTGTGCACAAATTTCTTGTAGCAAGGGAACCAGAAGTATTGTAATGTGTATATTAATGAAACTGTCAATTTATGTGATGATTTATTGAATAAGATGGATGTTTCCTATGTATAATTAGGGTCCAGGAAGAATGTCGAGCTGCCAAAGGTGAAATTGAAATTAATTTATACACCGTTGAGAAGAAGAGAAAGCCATCCCACATCTTGCAGCGGGTGAGTTAATTGAGCAGAAGAGACAGCCTGGGTGTGAAGTAGTACTGAGCAAAACCCAAATGCAATTTAATAAAATTATTTTAGAAGTTCAATATTACTAATTCTTTCCTTGGCTCTTTCTCTTCCTTCTGTAACTGTAATTAGTCTGTCTTTAAATTGTAATATGCAAATAGCAGTGGTCAATCTCTATCCTTAAGGCTTCAGTAGTGGGAAGATGCTGGGAAAGGAAGAGAGCAGAGTCACCGTGGATGCTCAGTGTGACTTGTGGAGACCAGGAGAAATAGCAGAGGTGCCACACTTGTCAACGTGGCTAGCTTTTATCTTATCCAGAGGCTGCAGGTCTCCCTTCGAGATATTTCTTCAGAACTTCCTTTCTAAGGATGACCGCTAATTAAAAAAGTGGAATTGATACTGAATAGAAAAACCCCACCTACATGGGCACTGAAATGGTGTTCCATGCATGACCACAGGGCTGTATCTCTCCAGCTGTAATCCTACATTTCCTCGCTGGCATTTGTAAATGGGATACAGCGTGCAGTCCCTTTAATGAGGCGTCTTTTAACTGTGTAAGTCATTATTAAATCTCTACTCTTTTTGTCCCTCCGGTCCTGTGACAACAGAACGATTACCAGCCAGGGAGCGGGAGGGCTCTGAGAAGAAACCAGCGCAAGCGCCAGCACGCCTACCAGACGCGCTCCACCATAGAACACAGTCAGCAGGGAGCAAGTCAAAGTGCACGTGCGCGGGAGGAATCGGACAGCTCCTCAGAGGTCTGATGATCCGTCGAGCGATGCTTTCAATAGGTTCCCTGTTCCCGAGTAGCGTGGTTTGACAGCGGATGTGCTGGGAGCTCTGTTACCATGAAGGTTCTGAGTTTCTCCACCTAGGAAGAAACATTCCAATCACGGAGTCATTTGGATTTGTGGTGTCAGTGTAGTGAGTTGATCTTGGAGACAGGAGGGTCATTTTACCTCAGTGCCAGTACAGTATTCAAAACTAGCTGTGTATTTTTGGAAATCTGAAACATTTTCAAGTAAATTTAACTGGGTTGTGGTTATGCTCTTTTGGGAGCTCATACTGCACGTATATTCGAGGTCACATTCAGTACTTTGATTTCATCTACATCTGCAGACTGCTTTTGAAAGAGATTGAGTATTGGCATTAATCATTGGTATTAGCAAGGGAAGAACTTAAAATGCACCAGATAAGTTTAATTTGTTCTCATTATGGAAGCACACAAAGCAAAAAGAGACTGAACAATGTCACTTTGCAAATGCACCCAACGTACAGACTAGCTGCAGAGCTGGCCACTTGACACTAAAATGTGTTAATCAAACACTTCAACAGATCAGTTAATCAAACAATAGGATTCATTCTATGGTTCTAATACCATTAAAATTCACATCTCTTTCTATAGAAATTATATAAACATATAGTACAATATTCATTAAGATACAGAAAGAAATTGTGTTTAGCTTACTTTAAGCTAAACCAGTCCTTAAATACAAAGCTTTCCTGGGGTGAGACAGCTCATATAACTTGCTTGCGCACAAAAATGATGCATTTTAAACTTGGCCCAAAAGTGAAACCTTTTCTTTTTAATCCAGGAAGATGAGACTGTTGGCACAAGTGATGCATCTGTGGATGATCCTGTGGCAGCATGGCAAAGTGAAAGCAGTTCCAGGTAGCTCTTAGTTGTTAACATTAGTTGATTATATAGTTTAAATGAGATAGTTGATATTGTGATACTGTTGATATTGTGATATAGTTGATATTGTGATACTGACTGCAAGTCAGTACAGATTTGTTACACCTTGGGACAGATGGAACCGAAGTGCTTAGTAGGCTGAGCTACCATTTTAAATGGTAACGAACAAAATTTGTGGAGCCTGTGAACAGACAAATACTTACATGTATTTGAGTGATTAAGTAATTGTAGAAGTTTTTATAACAGCATTTAACAGAAAGCCAGTGTGAAAAATTCCTAATTTTGAAGACTGACTTCTTTTTTCTCCTCCAATTCTTCATGAAGCATTTTATATTGTAATCTTTCGTAGGCTTTTTTTTTTGCAGTCAAGAACAATTTTAAAAGACCATTTGTAAGAAAATGTTGTCTTAAGAACTGCTTGAAAAAATCAATGCCATTTAGTCATATGCCATAGAAATAGAGAGAAGTGCATACATAACTTCTATTCATACTTCAGTATTTCCTGATTTATTTTGCTGTTGTCAGTACGTATTTGTGTAAAATTTCTACAGTCTCTTATTTTTAATGTTACGCTTTTATGGCTGGAAGGTCCATGAGCTAATATAAATACTGTGTGTATCTTATTTGGATATTAAAGGAGCCTGAGCTGTATTCTTAGAAAAATGCTCTAGTTTTCTGAATTTTTCCTGCATTTTGTGCAGTCAGTTCTTAGGAAGTCAGTCTGTGAATCACTGACATAATTAGCGTAAATTAGGTATCAGCCACAGCTGTAGTTTTACTGTGAGTTTGCAATTGATAAAATAATTTGCTGAAATACACAAACTAGATAGCACTGAGGTTTTCTTTAAATTTACATGGGAATGAAATTTTGTGCTAATCCTGACATCTGCTCCACATAACCAGAAGAACAGGTTGAAAGTTTGGACCTTTCACTCCTTTGTGTGAAAGCTGCAGTGCTGTTTTCTTTCTTACACCTTTTTATTATCTGTAGTGATTCATCAAGTGAATATTCTGACTGGACAGCAGATGCGGGAATTAATCTCCAGCCTCCAAAGAGACAAACCAGGCAGGCAGCTCGGAAAATCTGTAGTAGTTCTGAAGATGAAAATATGAAGGGGACAAAAGGACTGGAGCCAAAACGAAGGAAACTTAAACAGCCTAGAAAAAAGGTCAGCAATTTTAATCTTTGAGGGTCTTTTTGACTTTATGAATATATATTTTTTTGAAGTGGTTGGTTTCAAAGTAAAACTCTTCACAGATACACAGAAAGAAAAATCCTATCGATAACCAATTATTCTGATATTACAATTGTCCTTTGTTTTAGTGCTGTGGTGACATAGGCATGCTTCCACTTTCATGCAGGTAGTTCATTACAGATAGGATGTTTTCTTCTAGATTTGTGCTCTTCACTGCAGCTAGAACTACTCAAAGTGGTTTTGGGGTAAAATCATAATGTGTCTACATTGTCAGATTTTCCTAGTATTTTTTAAAGAAGACATTTGGAATATTTCTAAGGAAGGAAATATATAATCTCTTTATTTATGAACATTTTAATCTTGTATTATATTGATAACGATCATGTCTTACTGCCTATTATTTAGTTGAGGTTTTTGGAAAGTTGACACTCCAGCATTTTCTTTGCCCTTCTATCCATTATCTTTAGTAAGTGCTGTATGATCAGTTCTGTTCATGTGCTCTGCCACAGAAATTACAGCTTGTACTCTAAATTTAATGCCATCTGTTTAAGAAACCAAGTGGACTGCTTTCGATGGAAGGTGAACCCAGTGAAGAATGGCTTGCCCCTCAGTGGATCTTGGATACTATACCCCGCCGCTCACCTTTTGTCCCGCAGATGGGAGATGAGGTAATGAGGGGATTGATTCTGAAATTCCCACTGAGGCTCATGAACTTGTTTTGGTCGTGGCTATTAAAACTAGCAATATTTGCAGTGAACTGTGCTCAAGATAGGTTGAGTTTCTATCACTTTTTTTCCCCCGGAGACCAGTTGCTTACAGATAACGATCCTACGCCTCTTTTTGTGCACATGTAGATTAGGAGTAGCAGGAAGAATTGATTGTGCATCTTCAGACAAACCTTCATACTTCTCAACAATCCCAAGTTTGAAAGCACATAGCAGGTGCCACTTTGGGGGCTGGTATAAGTATAAATACATCCTTCTTATGTTGAGGGTTCCACAGCTGGATGCAGTACTCCAGCATAAGAAGGATATAGACCGGTTGGAGCGAGTCCAGAGGAGGCCACGGAGATGCTCAGAGGGCTGGAGCCCCTCTGCTTTGGGGACAGGCTGGGAGAGTTGGGCTTGTTCAGCCTGGAGAAGAGAAGGCTCCGGGGAGACCTCATAGCACCTTCCAGTACCTGAAGGGGCTACAAGGAAGCTGAGGGGGACGTTTGCCAAGGGCCTGTAGCGACAGGACAAGGGGTAACGGGTTTAAATTGAAAGTGGGGAGGTTTAGATTGGATATCAGGAAGAAATTCTTCCTGGAGAGTGTGGGGAGGCACTGGGACAGGTTGCCTAGAGAAGCTGTGGATGCCCCATCCCTGGAAGTGTTCAAGGCCAGGCTGGATGAGGCTTGGAGCAACCTGGTCTAGTGGAAGCCCACGCAGGGGGCTGGAACTGGATGGGCTTTAAGGTCCCTTCCAACCCAAACCATTCTGTGATTCTATGATTTTTAAGAAGAGTGCTATATGATGAAATGAAGTGTGCAGTACGTTCTGGAAGGGATGATGCCCGACGTGTTTGTAGAAATGTTAGAATAAACAGGAAGAGAGAACTATCAATAAAATGTAATAATTTTTTTTTTTTTTCTGTTAAGATTATATACTTCAGGCAAGGCCATGAAGCTTATGTGCGGGCAGTAAGGAAAGCAAAAATTTACAGTATTAACATGCAAAAACAACCATGGAACAAAATGGAACTCAGGGTAAGTTAAACCAAAAACTTCAAAGAGCTGAATGTCTCTGTAATGTTAAATTGACATTAAAAACCAGTATGAAGAAAGAATTGCTTTAAAATGTTAATATCAAAATTAAAATTCTAAATTTTGAAATCAGTGGTTTTGTTAACACAAAGCCTTTACATCTCTTCAGTTCCTGAGATAATAGGAAGCCAGAAGGATATTAAAGAATGTAAAAGTTTAACTAGTGTGCTATTCTTTCCTGATAGATAAAGAGATGTAGAATATTAAATTAAAAAAAAGGTTGGAGTGAGAGTAGTTAAGGACTGGAACAGGTTGCACAGAGAGACCATGGAATTTCCATCCTTCAAGACTTCTCAGAGCTGAACTGGACAAGCTCTGAGTGGCTTGGTCTCACTTAGACAGCAGCCCTGCCATAATCAGGATTTTGGACTTGATGATTCTCAAGGGTCACTTTCTACCCAAATTATTTCATGACTCTGGGCTGGTTTTTTTCCTTAACTCTAATTCATGCAGAACCCACCACTCCAAAGCTGCTTACAGTTCTGTCGGCACTCTGCAGTGACCAGAACATCTGGGTTCTGTTTATTGTTTCAGACTCTGTGGTAAGAAGTGTCTGCAGGTGAAATGTAGGCACAAGCTCTGTCAAACAGTGGATCTAGCTAAGCGTATAATTGTGTGTGTTCTTAAGTTCTTGGAAGGGCAAGACAATATCTTACGATATATTTTTACAAAATCCAAGTATTATGGATTGCTTGGGTACATACTAGGCTTACAAGGTTATGTGGATTTTTCTTATCCTTTGGTTTGAACCACTGAGCCCCTTAGTACTTAATCCACATATTTTTTACCATATTTTTTTCTGCTTTGCTCAGATTTCATATCAAGAGAAGAGCACGTATATGTGCTAATATTCCTATGTGCGTGTGCCAGTGGTTCTATTAATGAAAATAATTTTTTTCCTGGAAAGAGATGCAGTTACTAGTCCCAAGTATTCAGCGATTCCAGCTGTAATCTTCAAAGGCATCACCAGTTTGTAAGGAAAAGGAAATAGCATTTCAGTTAGGCTGGAGATCTTGCCACCAGCTGATGTTTGACAGGACGTGAACATAAAGGCTATTGTTGAATTCCCCCATTAAGTGGAAAAATTTCCATCTATGCCTTGGTGAGAGGCCTTGGGCCTCGGCCAGGTGTAACCTTTTGTGTCATCAGTGTGATTAAACCAGAGTGGGTATGTTCCTTAGAACCTTACCACAGAAGTTGAATAATTTGCGGGTATCCTGTTCACAAATCTACCAAGGGAATGAGTGTCTCAGATCTTTTGAATTTTTAAGGGACTGTGATTGATATTTAGTATCGGGAAGAGAAAACTTTTATGGGTGAAGTTACCTGGGCTGTAGCATGGAGACATACTTGGTTTTTATTAGTATGTTTGGTAATACTCTTCCATGCTTATTGATAAATAGGAACAAGAATTTGTGAAGACTGTAGGAATTAAATATGAAGTGGGGCCTCCTACACTCTGCTGCTTGAAGCTTGCATTCCTAGATCCAATCACAGGCAAAATGACAGGAGAATCATTTTCCATAAAGTAAGTACCTCCAGTGCTGATGCATTCTTCAAGAGATTTTCTTGCAGGTTAGAAGTTTCCCCCTCCTTTCTTTTTCCTCTTGCAAGGCATGATGATGGCGCTAATTCATTATTATGGCAAACTTGAAAACAAAATGCATGAAGTGTTGTGTTTGGAGACTGTCTTGTACATGTGGAGCTGTATTTGTGCATAATCGAACCAACTTTTTTTGTCTGTTTCACGAAGGTACCATGACATGCCAGACGTTATTGACTTCCTTGTGCTGCATCAGTTTTATAATGAAGCCAAAGAAAGGAACTGGCAAATAGGTGACTACTTTTTTTCCACTTCCATATGTTATGCAGTGTTTCTACAGCTGTTTAACAGGATACGGTGCCTGTATTACATGATCTAAAGGACTGTACCGCACATGATATTATAGCAATCTTTGGAAACTATTTCATGTTTGCCGCAATTCCGGTAGCAGGAAAAAAGAGAAATGAGGGAAACTCTTATGAGGCCTGTGACAGCAGAAGAATCTGCTGTTACATTGTGGTTTGAGGCATGGAGGGAGCTGTGACTGATAACTGGAGATGTGAAAGCCTCCCTTTAGGGGAAGGGCTTGGTTCCTGCAGTGCAAAATGTTAAGAATCGACATCGTGCAGTTATGAAAGATGAAGCTGATTCTCTAAGAAGAAGTATTTAACAATTATTTCGTTGTTCTTTTGCTGAATGCAACCTTTCTCCTTACAGGGGATAGATTTCGCAGTATAATAGATGACGCTTGGTGGTTTGGAACTGTGGAGAGTCAGCAGCCTTTCCAGGCAGAATATCCCGATAGTTCCTTCCAGTGCTACTCTGTTCAGTAAGTATTTACATAGCTGTAATGTATCACACGTATTTCCATGCTCTGGGTCTCCTAGACTTTTACATGCAACTTAAATGTGTGCCTCAAGAACCAGGAGCCTTTTTCCCATTGAATTAGATAATCAGCCACTTTCGTTTTAATTAATTATGGACTTCCTCATAAAGCAATACTTTTACTGTAAGCAGTGCCGTGAATATAGAGGAGATTCCAGAGAAAAATGAGGAGTTGGCACATAACTAGTGGCATGTCTTGTTTCCAGTAGGTGTGACCTTTTCATCCTAAGTCTGGTAGAGAAAAGGTGTATCGTTATATTCAGCTCTAACATACGTTTGAATGTGTTTTATTAATAGCTGGGACAATAATGAAAGAGAGAGGATGAGTCCGTGGGACATGGAACCAATTCCAGAAGGAAGTAAGTGTGCATTGAATTCACGTCCATACACCAAATAAATATTTTTTTGTCACTGCTAGTACTGACTGTTGTTGAATTCTTCCTACTTAGCTGCTTATCCAGAGGAGGTTGGTGCTGGAGTTCCTGTGACTCCAGACGAGTTGACAGCTCTTCTCTACAAACCCCAGGAAGGAGAATGGGGGGCCCATTCCAGAGATGAAGAATGTGAACGAGTAATCCAGGGGATTGAGCAACTTCTTTCCCTTGGTATGTTTGGAGGGAAAGGGTGGAAGGATTAAGAATAGCAGTGTGGTGGCACGGGACTGAGGAGTAGGTAGGATGGAGTGTTGGGAGCTGGTCTGGAGTATTTGAAATGTGCTCAACTAAATCATTGAGAAGAGCCTTTCACATCGCACGCGGTGTGCTTTTCGGTTATACCGCCTTCTTGCTCTGGCCTCACCTGCTCCCTTTCAACTGAATGGGGAGCCTCAGTGGGTCATATCTCAATATGAATGAGCAAAACAGTGAATTAAACCCCCTCAAAAAACAACCAGTCCTCCCCAGACATCCTCGCCAACAAATACCCCGTAACTAGCTTGTGGTGGTTTAATAGCATGCTGTGATTTAAATTCTTGCCTGCATTTATACACAGGACACGTCTGCATTCTTAGTTTATGTTGCTTGTTGCCGTATTCCTGTGATAAGTGCATATACCCTGGTGCTTTTCAGCCATACGGTTGGCTGCTGGTGTGCAGATCTCAGATGTGATATTTAAAAAATGCTTTTTTGAGAGTAGTTAACAGATGGTACAAGAGGGAGAATCCTACCCTTTGGGTAATGAGACAGCCAGCTGTAGATCTGTATTGTTTCTCCTAAATTCTTCACGAGAAAGCCCAGAAAGCGTTATAAGGAATGTAGCTGTCTTAAAACTTCCCTTGTGGTATTTTCTGAGGCACCTAAATTATTTTGATCTTTTGTCTTTCAGACATTTCTAATCCCTTTGCTGTTCCCGTGGACCTTAGTGCCTATCCCATGTATTGCACTGTTGTTGCTTATCCAACTGACCTCACCACGATCAGGAGGAGACTTGAAAACAGGTTTTATAGGTCAGTTGGATTTTTGTTTGTACTCTGCATTTCCTGTAGCCTCATGGAGGCCAATATGTTTAGCTGAATACCGTGTAATGACACGTCAGCAATATACCTCTTCGATGAGCCAGCAGCATAAGATCAGATTCTGTTTGGCCTTGGGCTAACTGAGTCTTCCTGAATAATAATTTCTTTTGGCCACATGGTTAAGCCAAAAGCTGGTATGTCTGGATCTGGAGTATTTTTTTTGTTTAACATACTGAGCTTTACTCTCTGGATGTGTTCTAGGCAGAGCATACTTGCCTCATCTGTATCTCAACTGCCTTTGAACCAGGTGCTTTGCATGTATCACAGTTGCCACAAGTTTACTAAAGGTTCCGTAAACTGGAACTCTCAGGTTTTCCAGTTAAACTGGAGATAAAAAATGTCCTGCTCTTTGTCTCTACTACTTTATCTCTAAGTCTTTCTCTAAGCGGGAGCAGTCAGCAGTCTCCTTCAGCAGGTTTGTTTCCTCTTTTCATTCCATTCATAGCTGATTTGAAGGGGACTTTTTTGTTTCACAAGGCTGGCGCAGCCTGGCACATTGAGGCAGTCAGCAGTGTGTGAACAGAAACCACTTACCTTGGTCTCTGGCAACATGTTTAGCTTGGACCTGAATTACCTGGCTCGTTTTTTACTTAAAAATCCTACTGAACTCAGAAGAAAAATAATGTGCACCTTCCTCCCCATCCCTCTCCTTTTTTCTTTTTAGGAGAATCTCTGCTCTGATGTGGGAGGTACGATACATTGAACACAATGCCAGGACTTTCAACGAGCCAGACAGTCCTATAGTCAAAGCAGCCAAAATTGTAACAGATGTCTTACTTCGCTTCATTGGGTAGGCATGGGTTTATACTTCATAGATCTGACATTGTGAGTTTCTCAGGTACTTGATTATCTACTTTTGGCTTTTGTTGTTGTCCTGCAGGGATCAGAGTTGTACTGATATATTAGAAATATATAACAAGGTGAAAGCAGAAGACCTAAGCAGTACTGATGCAGAAGAGGAGGTAAGACTGTTAATTCTGATCATCACAACTTCTTGCCTTTTTTTAAATTCAGCACCTGGAAGAAGTTTGAGTAAAGCTTTTTGCCAAGTTGTTAATTTAAGGGTAGTTGCACTGAGTTTTTGAGATGAGCCTGTTTAGGCCATTTGTGTTGCTCACCCAGGGCAATAAGTAAATAAAAACGATTCTTGGAACTGCCTGTCTTTAACTTTCTCTCAGTACATGAGGTTTTGCTGTATGAGGAAGCGTTGGTCAGTGAGGGGAATCTGGGCTGGAGCGAACTGGGCTCAGACTGCGAACCAGAAGGACAACAGCTCTCCTGTTGTCACCAAGGCAGCAGAGCTGGTTTTCTTACTAATTCTGTGTCATTTCCTGTCAGTTGTACTGTGGGGTGAAAGGCCAGGTAGAAACCAGGTCAGCTATCACTTCCTTCAGCTTTCTCTCTCTCCTTACACCGTCTTCCCTTAAATGCAGTTTGTAAATGTTTGGAAATGTGCTTCTGTTGCAAGGAAGTGACCTGCTACAACCCAAGTCACTTGGTTCTGCTTTACTTTTTTTACATGAGCTAGTGTAAGATTTGGGTAGGAGGCTTCTTCCCTCCTCCCTTCCCCAAGACGTGCTCCACTGTTGCAGTTTTGAAATATTTAAACAAAGCCTGATGCTGCTTGAACACCTTTGTGCTTATGGTTGGTGCTGTTGTCTTGGAGTGAAACTGAAAGTCTATACTGCAGTGTAATAATTCAGTTGGGTTTATAAAACTGAAGCTATAATAACAGCATCTATTTTCACAGACTACTAAGAGTGTTTTGAAGAAAATGAGGGATTTCATGACTTAAATAGCAGATCCACCTTTCCCAGCTATACCTTCTTGTGCCAGTTGTGAATCTCATCTGTTCCATGTCAAGCCATGATCAGAAGCGTCCAAAATTGCTCCTATATCACCATCCTTTCTCTCTGGCCTCGTGTGCCAAAGAGCATGTCTTGGTTCATAATGTGTTTTAAAATAAGAGAGAAATTACTTTCAGATTCTTTGTAGGAGCTTTCAAGCAACAACTTCTCATTATTTTTCATTAGTGGTAGAAAGCTGTGTACAAAGGAGTTTTTGGTGTAATTTCTAAATCCAGATTGTGAAATGAGTGTTACATACATGTAATGTGAGTGAGGTACTATACGAAACCTGAATAAACTCAGCACATGCTCAGGGCATGACCATTTAGGCAGGGGAATAGAGGTCTGCAGGGCTGGGACTTCACTGAGTCTTAAGGACTGAAAATAAGCCATTCATATTTCTCACATGTTTACATATCATTTCCATGGAAGCAAACTTGGAAAGGAGATGAAACGGCTAATTTTTTTCCTCTGAAGTTATGCAAGTTCTGGTTTGTGACTCGTTGCAGCTTTGCTTGAACCGTTCGTTGTGTTCGAGTAGTTTAAAATTGCGCTTCTTGCTGTTGGCTCTTGGATCTTGAGCCCTTTTTCGACCGCCGAGGGTGCGTACCGGCGTGTGGGTGTGTAATCGTTACCTTTGCCTTTAGGTGGCAGAAGTAGATGTAGATTCGGATGCTCCAGGAACTTCCTCTGGAAAAAGACGAGTGAGTAAACATGTCTGCTTGGTCTGGTCTGTGCAGGGAGATAGACCAGGAGCTGAAACACTAATCTGGGTCTAGAATGGTTTAAATTTGTCATAGCAGATAGAACTAACTGTGAATTAATGTGTCTGAAAGTGTTGGCAGACTGAGGGAGTTATTGGGCAGGAAAATTTACTTAGTTGATGAAGTGGTGGGTTTTTTTTTTTTTTTTTTTTAATTATTACTTTATTTGAAAGATACCTAGAGCAGATGCAGTTAAATCTGGGTGAAAGCTGACAAAAACAGCAAGGCTGGGTCTGAAACAGCACATACCTGTCATGGGTTGGAGTGTTTGCACATTGCCGGAAAAGGCCTGTTTCTGCAGTTCACATCCGCGCGGTGTTGTGCCGTCAGTTCTGCTTTAATCTTACTGCAGAACTGGTTTTAACTGGGGAAATCTGCTCTGAATCACAGCGCTAGTAAGGTAATAGGGACTTAAAGTGACAAATATGAATATTCTGAAAAATGCTGAAATACACCTGTTTCCCGCAGGTAAGACGCCGAATAAAAAGGCAGCCCATGAAAGCAAGTCCCGATGCTTGGAAAGAGCAGTGCAAGCAGTTGTTAAACCTGATTTATGAGAGAGAGGACTCGGAGCCTTTCAGACAGCCGGTTGATCTCTTCTCCTATCCTGTAAGGACCACTGCCATATTCAAAATTAAACAAGCCCGTTGCTCATCCTTTGGCCAAACGTCCACGCTGGGCGTGTTGCTAGCCTCTCCCTTTCTGAGCTGGAGCGCATCATGCTCTGTGCACTGGTGTTTTCAGGGAATGACCTGCAGTCACTCTCCGGAAGAAATAACTGCTTGAGCGCCGCTGCTGCGGGTGGACACTTGGGTGGTTTCATTGCTGTAGGATTTGACAGCCTTTATTATTTTTTTGTATATTCTTACAGGATTATCGAGATATTGTAGACACTCCTATGGACTTCAGCACTGTGAAAGAAACCTTGGAAGCAGGAAACTACACTAGTCCCTTGGAATTCTACAAAGATATTCGTTTAATATTCTGCAACTCTAAAGCTTACACTCCTAATAAAAAGTCTCGAGTAAGTGATAAATTTTAGTGCCTTCTTTACAAAGACCCCGGCCCTTCATGAATACAGTGCATAAAATAAGGTCTTTATCTGGAGAGCAAAATGCTGCACTGTGAAATAAAAATAAGTAGCATATGTCAATTTGGGGACCTACAGTTATAAATTTGCTTTCTTCTCATGCGGTTCACTCCTGAATTTCGTTTTCATCTGAACTTCCTGAACTTTAAAGCTTTTGAGAAGTTTTATGGTTACTGTTGCAACTATTTCTTTGAGGGTTTTTAGCAGAAAACTGATCACACCAGTTGCTTTTATTTTTCAATAATCTATTCCTGGCAACAAGGCTATCTGCTTGGTAACTGCATATGCATATGGTAGGATGTTTTTTTTTATCTAATGTAAATGCAAATATTATGCAATATTTCTACTACTGGAGGAGATGAGAGCATTATGATACTTTTCTAGTGTGCTTGATATACTTGGCAAGACTTTCTCACAGTGTTGCTGTGTTTTTCAGGTGCTGATCTTGCTTTTTTCTGTGTGCAGGAATAGGAATCTGCTTAGGCAGAAAAAAGTGTGTTGGACTGGAGCCCTGAACAGGATATGGCAAGAGGGAAAGGGCAGATCAGAATGTTAGAACATAGATGTTTTTATATGAGCTCGGTGAAGTGGCGAGGTGTATGACTGATGGTGTAAACACGGCTGTGCTTGATACGTGTTTTCGTGCAGCGTTGCCTGTCAGCTTTGCCTCAGCTGCTACATGAGCATTCTGAAGTTTTCCAATGTTCTAGTAATATGTTGTTTATGCTCAAAACACCCCAGGTTGGCAGGAGGACACAGAGGTAGTTTTTACCACTGTTGGTGCAAAATAGAATTCAAGTGGTTGAGGTCTTCGTAATGTGAAAGTAGAAAAAATTTGGACTGTTTGCAGACACTGAAGGGAATTGGTATTGTAATGACCTTATTATTATTGGGAAGAGCTGCGTATTAAATAAGATGCTTAAGCTGTGATGAAATACATTATCTAGCCTAGATAAGAATGCTGGTTACAGTTGCCTAATATTCCTGTGTAGAAACAGGAGCACTTACAAGCTATGAGGCAATGCATTCCACTTGGGGCTGCGCTGGGCTACTGTTATGTAAAGCACAGTAATACGTAGAATTTAATACTTGTGTAAAATTTTCATGTGGCACCTGGCATGGTGTGACACAAGATTTTATTATGCCAGGCGCTGCCAAGCCAGAGAAAGAGCAGAGTGTGCTGCAAAGGGCTTTCGGCGCACGTGTGAGCGGTGCTGGAAGCAGGAGGTTGTGCGACCTTACTCATCACCTGAGGAGCAGTAGTTGCAGCTCCTCAGCGGAGTAACAACCGCTGTGTTCTGTGTAAGCAGGACGATGGGAGTAAGCTTGAATTAGGGTGATGCTGTGGGAGAGGAGGCACCAGCCAAGTGTTAGCAAGTGGGAGAGAAGGCACGAAGTCGCTGAAGGTAGATTGAACTCTTGGTGTTGTGCAGCGTCTGAAAGGTGGGTCGTGGGTAAGCTCTGAAGAGCAAGACCAGTAAATTCTGCTTCAGCACAAAGGAAAGCAGTAGAGGATTGCAGGAAGACAAGAAATTTGAGGGTGTTTTATCTGTGCTTGACATCAGAGTAAACTTGGTGAGTTATTTACTGCCACACGCTCCCTGGGAACTTCGCTGTGTGTTAATAACTGAACAGCTTGTGAGTCAACTCCCAAATTACTTTAATGGAGTGGTCCATCAATATCCATTTGCTTAAATACTGTGAAGTGCCTCTGTGAGCTGATCCTTGCTGGAGGGCTGGGGCGCACAGCTGGGCCTCCTGCCAGTGCAGGTTCATCTCCTGCCAAATGTGTGCCAACACCCGGAGGTTTTCTAGCCCATTTTACCATCTTTGCAACAGCATCCTGAATGGAAACAAGGAGGGCAGGCTACTACATACGAGGGCTAAAGAAAGAGACATTGCTAAAATGTAAGGGTCTGAGCAAAAACTGAGTTCTGTGAACGTAAAGGAAGCTCTGTATTGAAGAGATTCTGTATTCAGACAGACTGCAGGAAATGGGAAGAGGCCTGAGTAGCAGATGGTGACATCATCTTTATTTTTCAGAAGACTGGCAGCGGCAGGAGGGTGTGGGTATGAGGAAGGAGTCAAGAACTTTGTTCTATTTATGCTGAGTTTGGACTATTAGCTTGTCATAACTCAGACACATCCAAGGTGCAATATTGAACCGAAGTAAATACAGCCTGAAGTATGGAGTCGTAGCCATGAGTGAATCTGTGAACGTGGCTGCACAGAGGCAAGGCCTAGAACGAGGACAGGAAAATGATTTAAGGATTTTGACATCTGGCTTACAGAAATTAAGAATGAGGGCACATCAGTTGGCTTCTGTGTGCAGCTCTGTAGGGGTGGCGTAAGGACTCGTCATGAGGGAATTAAAGCAGACAACAAAGGCGAGGGGGCAGTGAACTTCACTTGGTTTTCCCTTGGTACTTCAGATTGTCTTGTGGCGTGCTTCCATGCTTTATGGAGATTAAAAAAGGAGGCTGTATTTCAGTGATCTAGATACCCATCTTCCTTTAACTCTGTTAATATCTTGTACTGTAAGGAATTAAATCCGTTTACGGAAACACTTCCTGTTGCGAGAATGCTGTTGTGCCATGGAAGGGAATTATATGTAAGGAACCTCAGAGTTGAATGTAACCATGAATTTTTTCTTTTGTGCTACGAAGTCTGGGCATCTTTGTGATCTTTTTTCCTCCCCCGCTGATCTTCTACTTATTCAGTTACCAGTAAGTACAACTGTGCTTTCTCACTCCAGATTTACAGCATGACACTTCGACTATCTGCCTTATTTGAAAATCATATGAAAAATATCATCTCTGAGTACAAGTCAGCAATGCAATGTCAGAAGAGGAAAAGGCCACGGTACCGGAAACGGCTAAGAAGCAGTAGCAGTTCACCGTCAACAAGCAGAGCATCTAGGTAACGTGGCATTTGAGATGGCAGTAGTAGATGTGTTTTTGTGAATAAGCAGTCAGTAACAGCACTGCTTGCTTCCTGACGCTGTTGCTCTTTTGGGTGATAAAATCATGAGCTCATATTCCATGCTTAGTTTGTACTTGGAGCATAATTCTGGTAAGTGAAAGACTATATAGTTAGAAGTACTCCCCCTTTGACTGATAGCTGGTGAAAAAGTGTCGTCTAACACTTTTCTGACTTCTGGATGATACATTATCTAAGTAAACGGAGTATTTGTTTTTAAAGGTGAGAGAAAACCTTGTTCTTGCAAACTCATGTGCTTTTATCAAACAGAATGATAGTGTCACCCTTTGTAGTATTACTACACCCATGCCAGCACCGGGAAGAGCTCATTTGTGTTTTGCATTTGCTGCAAAAAAACTAGTCACTTGGCATGGGAAATTGGCTTTGTGTTGGGGTCTTTTGGTACTAACAGTTTTATCTCTTTGGGGTATTTTGTGTCTTCAGCCCAAAAGGGAAACAGAAGCAAATGAAGATTCAACCTAAACCCAACCAGAATACCTCACTGCCTTTGACTAGGACTAGTTCTTCAGTTTCATCTCATGGTGAGGAGAAATCTAAAATGCATCCTTTCTCATGCAGCAAATTGTATGTGCAGAATGATGAAAAAGCTGAAGGGTATTAAATGTTCAGTTCAAATCTTATATTCATGAGACAGATGCAGAATCCCCCTGCTGAAAGAGCAAGTAGCAAGGTCATGTAAATACGTGGCCTGTAGATTGTGTTAGCTGAATTTGGCCCTCCCACTGTTGGTGAGTTGTTGGTGAGGGTCAGGGAACAGGGAACCTGGGTCTGTCCTTGGTAAGTACTAATCTAGCGACAAGAGCCTGGACTTGCTGTATACAGGCTTTTCTCGTACAGTGGTTACAAATACATTACGTTTCCTTCGGTTTACACCCCCGAAGAATCTGTTTCTTCATGACTGCAGAAGCAGCTTGGCGAGATTAACCTCCTGACTTGGGCTGTTAACTGAGGTGATACGAAACTTCCCAAAAATGCCTTGCGGTAAGCCCTATAAATAGAGGATAAAAGGGATGCTGTCACATCGGTGGTGTCCTGTCTGAAGTTTCAGATACAGCAGAAGAACCTCTGGGTTCAGCCACTGGTGAAGAGATGGAAGGCCAGCCATCTTCCTCAGGCTCAAATGCACAGAACCGAAGTGGAAATACTGTTGATCCAGGGAAAAGTAGACTAATCAGAAGTAAATCTACACCAGTGAAACAAGGTGAGAAATACTAAGTGTTCTGTTCTTTGAGTGACTGGTTGCACTGGAGATGAGGGAGTTGCTTCTTTCTGATGCTTCTGATACTCTTGCCTGAGTCTAGCTTTACACTGTTCATTGAAGAAGTGAATTTGTCTTCCTTTTTACAGTTCTGTGGTCTCTTCTCTGAAGTGTGGCATTCTCATGGTGCCACATGCACTTCAGTGAAGTCCTTTAAAATTTCTCCAGATGGAAAAGCTTGATTGCTTTTAAACTTCTTGAGAATTACAGTCCCTTTAGAAGTTAGAAAAAGCAAAGCCAACCAAAAGAATCCCCACCCCAAAACCGTGTCCTTTTATTAACCAAGTTGAAACCAAAGATGAAAAAAGGTTTAAAAAGGAAATTAAATGTTTTTTACCATAATCAAGACTAAGTGGTTGTGATTAGAAGGGAAACAGTGGTTGAAAACTGTGGTATTTTGTCTCTGGGACACGTTAATCAGACTTTCCACTGGGGTAGGCATCGAATGAGTGTTGGCTGGAGCCCGAAGCCTTTGCTACTGTGCTGCAGCAGTGCTGTCTCTTGCAGGTGAGCTTTTTCTATCATGTGTTACAGAAGATATTTAACCTTCGTTGTCAGATTCGTAACTCTGAAGACATGCAGTGTTTTGGGTCCCAAGCCCGTAACACACTTTACTATCTTTTTAAGTTAAGGTCTTCAGCGATCCTAGTGGGAACCCAAGTAACCCCCTACTTGAGTTAATTACCATCTTGAAACTGTGCTTGCCACAAGGGTTCCCTGGTGTAATAATCCTTTTGAGAACAGGCTTTTGATGGGGAATAAATACTGCTTGCCGAGTGCTGTTTTAACGGATGTAGGTTTGAAACGGATTTTGGAGTTTCTCCTGCCTTGGTACCCTAGGTAGGATTCATCTGTCTAAATGTTAGATGTTTGTGTCTGAGCTAGTCACTCTGGGCTCCTTTTATTGCCTGGATCTTCCCTGAACTCTGGGCCCAGTCTGCAGTCCTTGCTTCCGGCTAGGAGGAACCGTGCTTACTTGGTCTGATAGGTTTTCCCCTCAGAGCACCGGCTTGGCTCCACAGCATGTAAAGGTGGGCCGCGGTGAGGAGCTCGGAGCTGGAGCATCCCACACCTCAGGCAGATGAGGTGCCTCCCACATTTTGTATCCTGTTTGGCTGAGGCGTGATGATGATAACCATAGGGTTATTTTGTGTTTGCGTAGATCACTCTCCTGACGGGCCACTTACAAACGGCGATGGCAGAGAACCTCGGACAGGAGTCAAGAGGAAGTTAATCAGTGCGTCAGAAGAGGATGAGCCTCTGGAGGGAGCAGAGGAAGAGGAGAAAAAGAAGAGAGAATTAAAGGAAAAATCTGGCTTATCTTCATCAGAAAGTGGGGAATCGGGATCCAGTTCAAGTTCTGAAAGCAGGAGTGGCTCCGATTCAGACTCTGAATCAACGTCTAGAACAGATCAGGATTACATTGATGGAGACCATGACTACAGCAAAGTTGTGCAATCCAAAAAACCCAAAAGGAAGATCAAAAGAAAAATCACCGGTGGGAAGCGGAATTGGCAGGGCAGAGGGACAGGAAGGAGAGGTAGATGGGGGAGGTGGGGGAGATGGAGTCGAGGGGGAAGAGGTGGCAGAGGTGGCAGAGGCTGTGGCAGAGGAAGAGGTGGTGGCAGAGGAGGCCGAAGAGGCCGAGGAGGTCGAGGAGCCTCGCGAGGAGCTACCCGAGCGAAACGTGCCCGAATTACGGATGACGAATTTGAGAATCTGTTTGGAGGACAGTTTGGTGAAAATGTGTTCGGAGGGCGATTCAGTAGGCCGCCTCGAATCAAAACAAGGAACGAGGGCAGGAGGACTGTCTTGTACAATGATGATTCGGACAACGACAATTTTGTGCACACCGAGGATCCTTTGAACCTTGGTACTTCCAGGTCAGGCAGGGTGCGGAAAATGACAGAAAAAGCCAGGGTCAGCCATCTCATGGGATGGAATTATTGACAGATGAAAAACTTTGGAACAATTTTAAAAGAACTTCAATGGCCTTCTACTGCAGGGATTTTACCAGAAAATCTACCAAGCAAGTTGTGCGGGGACTCCACTCACGTTTCACAGTGGTGCTTTTCCACGATGTCACTTTGCGTTTGTTTTAAAACTTCAGATCGCCACACTTCATTGGTCAAAACAAGCCTTAGTCATTAGGCCTTAAATTGCAGAAATTCTTCCCCACACACTACGAGTTCATCACATTAAAGAGGCTTCCAGCTTCTCAATAAGAACATGACATTTTGAGTCACAGTTATGACTTCTCTCCCTTGTTTTGTTTTTGTATTATTGAAATAGCACCTTCTTACAGAGTTTTTATGTGGTTTCTGCCATAAATCCTTATACACAGTAATAATTATAACTTTTGCACAATACACCAATCCTAAAGGCAGCTATAAAATGTTTACAGTTTCTATATCGTAAGAAGGATCTGGATTATGTTAATCTTCCCAGGCCAAACGTTCATGAATTGTGCTGAACTGAAGTATGTCTATACTACAGTTACGGGGGTCCTGATGTGCTTTCTATCGGTTCTTCATTCATGTAAAAAGTGACAAAGGGTTGGTGCCTTGTAAATATGTAGCAAACCTTTGATGTGGTGTGTCCTATGTGTGCATTAACTTTATTAAAAAAGAGAATACTTGAGAAGTATGAATATCTAGACAAAAGGTGCCAAATGCAAAAGTTACTTGCATCTATTTTCTTTTTGTCCTCTCATATTTTTATAGTATTAATAGAGATTGTGCAGCTAAGGGGTAACTTCAACATTTGAAAGGTTCCTCCTCTTCAAAGCATAACGTGATTTTTAATTGTAGCTCAGCTACCTCTATTTACAACTACTGGAAACTTAAAAGAAAATAGATGCTGTTATTCAGGACGTGTTGAAGAAGAGGCAAGAAGGGGCGTAGGGGGATGGAATTGCTCCCCAAGTTGTAGAGTAGCTCTGTCTCCGCCCTAGCGACATGGTGAAAACCAATCTGGGGCACTCTCGGAGTTTTCAGCAGCGTGGTGTTTTCAGCGGATGGCGATGTGTTTGGGCGGGTAGGCCGGCTGCCTGCCCCGCGTTTCTGCCGCCTCTTGCTCCGTGCAGATCTGAGTGAGGTTTCGTTTGCCCCTCGACGGCGTCGAGGGAGCTGAGCAGAGCTCTGGTACCTCTGGTCGCTGGCAGTGTGGGTGAGCTCCTGTGTGCATCCTCCAGACGGACTCTGGTGTCTCAAGCTTCCAGAAGAGAGTTCCTGTTGCACTCCTCTCGTTATCCTGAAAAAGGCTAACTTGAAAATGAATCATTTTGGTAGTGGTAGTACAGTATGTGATGACATTCGTAGTCTTGCTCCTGGGTGGATGGAAGAGGTGCCTGGCACGGGCCGAGCTGGAGATGAGCAGCCTCTCGGTTGGTAGGGTCTGGCAGGAATGTGTATGGAACTCCGGTTTTCTCCCGTGGAATGAATCCGACGGTTCTAGCTTGGTTAAGAGAGGGAGTTAGATGACACAGAGAGAACAAAGCAAAAAGGACTCGACGGTTTTGGTGGAGTTTCTCGAGATTTTTTTATTTTGAACTTTCATCCAATATCCTTAAGTCGTTCTGTGCACAGCTTGGTCAATAATTCTGGAAAACCTCAGGCAGCCAAGAGTGACCCATGTATATTCTCAGATGCAGAAGGAATTTAATTTTTGACTTTCTATATTAAGCACTAGCTGGTTTATCTCGCTTTCCAAAAATTCTAGGCAGATGCAAAACGGCTTGAAAAAATGCAGAGGTTTAGTTTTGTGACGGAGGAGAGTATATCCTAAATTGCTCAGAGGATTGTCAGGAGTTTATGGTACAGTACAAAAATCACACTTTAGATTTTTTAAGGGATGTGTTGAATCGGCTGTGATCCATTTCTGGACTTGGTTCAGTTGTGTTTCGATAACGGGGGAAAAATGAAGGTGCAGAGGCTCTCCTAGTTCTATATTGGGCTTTAAAATATAAACACCTGTCCTGTCATCTCTCTCATATATATGTATATATATACACACACATATATATTTATAAGAAGTGTATTATTTCTTTGACTGACTGGTCCTTCTCCATATGGTAGCCAGAACAGCATGTACGCATCAGTTCATAGTCCGACTCATACCCCTTTTAGATCAGTCCTGTTGAGCTAATGTAAACACTATGGTTTCTGTTCTAAAGCCTGAAAATCTTGAAATGCAAAAGAAATGCTTTTCGTATATTTCTGACTGGCCGAAGATCCACTTACTTATTTATTTTGTGTAGGGGTTGGGGGAGAGAGAAAACACGTGGGTTCCAGAGAAATCATTTTATAAGTTTGTGTATTTTAGCAGCAATTAGAATAATATTAAATATGTTCTTACGTGTATCTTTTCTATGTAATGAAGTACTGTGAAGATAACAGTGCAGCATCACTTTGCTGTGGCGTGAGTGTTAATCAAATGTGATACACGACGAAGAGCTCGACAGCAGGGTGTGCTAGAACAACAGAGCTATTGCTTCTTGTAAAAAAAAAAAGGCTTTTTTTTGTGCAAGAGAACCTTTTATTAGCATGAAAGAAGTAACTTGGTTTTAGAGATGTTATTTTTACTTGGGTTTGTATCTGGATTCTTTCACTTAGGCAGTTGATTTCTCATAGCCTCGTTCTGTGGGATAACTATAATTTCGTAGTAACTTGGACGCTTTCTGGCAAAACCCAGACCTGATTAGGAGCCACTTAGGGTTGCAGCAAGCTTAGCATCAGCCCAACAAGTGCAGCAGAAGCAGTTAGATGGTGTAATCCTGTATGGTCTCGCTCGCTGATCCACAGCCCAGGTTCCCCCGGGGAAGCTGCCGAGCAGGCAGTGCGGCCCGGGGCGTTGCGTGTCGGGACCACGGTCTCTCCATGCGCGTTCAACAAGGACCTCCGACACTCTGCCTAAGAGAAGGGTTGGCAGGTCCGTGTCGGATTCCTGGAGCCCCGCAGGGCGTGCAGGCAGGCCAGGAGTTCCTCTGCTGCTGTAGGATTAGTTCTCGGGCATCAGTGCTTCATGGTTTTCCCTAGAGGCACGGCCTTGCGTGATCCCTCTCCCGAGTTGCCGGGGGGCTTGAGGGCGTTTGGGGACACGGTGGAAGGGGGCTGGTGTCCCAGGGCGCTTTGCTGGCTGCAGCGCGTTAGCCCTGCGTGCTTCGTCCTGGGGAGCTGGGCCTGAAAGTCTGGTCTGCATCTTTGTCCTCGGAGTTCTCGTATCCGCCGTCTCTAGCACTGGCATTCCCGCCCGGAGCAGGGCAGGAGCGCTGCAGCTTGTTCTGCAGCAGTGAGGTGCCGTTGTCTCTCCAGCCCAGACCTTACCTGCTTTCTGTTCCCCCTCATCACCTTTTGGTTTCCTCTTTGGCACGCTCCGCCACGCTCTATAGCTTCCCGTTACTGCCCCTGTGGGTTATCTGTGAGACTTTGTGGGACACAGGAGACCTTGGTGGATTTTCTTTCGCTTGGAATGCTGCGCCATAGGATTTAATTCTGTTTTCCCCACGACATTCCATGGCTTTTGATCTGCCTTACTCTGCTTGCTAGCAACACTCCCC